TATTTGATCACAAAATCGCGGTGAGTTAAATTATAATAAAATAAATTATTTATGTAAAATTAGTAATAAGTGATATACCTACCTACAAGTTATGATCGTTTTTAACTTGTTCACCCTGAACGAAATTTCAATATTAGCATTAAGTAGTAATTAATATCCTAAGACAAGAATTGACAATTACTTAAATTGAATCGAATTAGCATTAATGCCCATTACTAGTAATTAGGTACACACATATTGAAGAACTCTCAAGAATACGATAAATATTTGCAAAAATAGAAAGCGGAAGCGCACACGTACTTTACAACACGTATATTATCTGCCTAAGGGTCAAGTTTAGTGCACTAAATGCAAATTGCAAAACAATGAAGTATCCCTTCGCCCCTCCCCTCCCGCGTTCTAGCGAAGGATGTATTATCAGCGATTCTTGATTGACAAATATTATCTGACCAATAATTTTATCTATAAAAATGTAAAATGTGTATGTTATTATATCAAAATATCATTCAACAACTGTTCGTTTTTAACAGAAATCAACAGTCACGGGCTCAACGCTTAACGGTAGGTACATAGGTATAGATAATTCTCGGTTCTCGGTACAGACCACAGAACAATATTACCTACTCTTACGAGGTATACGACTGTTGGGCGATGCAATATTGATGCATTCTAATTTACAACTGTATTCTTCTACTATTCGGTCTATTTTAACTTATTGTAGATGACTTGTTGATTTAAATATTTTGATGCATTCAAGTCTAAGCTCCATACACCCCAAAATAAAATACAATTACTCTAGTGTTATTTCTTTACAAAAAAAAATCAAAGAAATGAAACAATTTCTTATTGGTTTAAATTTTCGATTTATTGCAGTCAGGTGAATCGTTCATACATGTATCTACATATTTATAATTTTAGCGAACCATTGCAGATTTTATGTTGATTGTAGCTCCGGTAGTAAAAAAGACTAAAGAAATTTTAAGTAAAGAAACTAGTGCTTAAGATCAATTAGGGAAAAAAACAAAATAAATAATAGGTAATAATAATGAATAAATATTGAATGTATTTAACACTGTACGCAACTGTACCGAAATCGTAAGGTGTATTACACTAAACATTTTAAAAGACAGCGCAATGTACTGGGTGATCGCTTTTTTGTAACCACCTAAACATGGTCGGATTACCACGGACTTGCACCTTCTAATGACTTTTATTTAATTATCTCGTAAACTATTATATGTACGACGCTGAAATTCTACAGGTAGACAACTGAACTAAACAACTAATTATTGGCATAACATTCAGTTTATATATCCACACACAGGTTTATCGGTGGCCAAAAAAGGCCGCACACATTGTGATCGTGAACGTGGAGAGCTACATTTCATCATAACTTTTTAGTCACTTACAGTATTCTTAGGAAAATTCGTATACATTTGAAGGTAGTTACAAGCAATAGAATAACGTTTCAAGTAAGTCTTCAGAGGTCTTATTTAAAGTGTTAGGACGTATTGAAGTGTTTTCATACTTACCTAAATAATTTTTAAACTGTCCATAATTTTTGTTATTTTATTGTCGAACAAATTAAAACTAATCCTTAAGAAGTTATGTACAAAAGATGGTTACAATCCGCTTACCCGTTTCAGAGATACAGCAAACCCACAAACGTTACTCCAGCAGGATTTCGAATAACTTCGCAGCCGAAGAAAATACAAATACCAAATAAGTTGTAACATTTACCTAGTCCAGATAACTAATTATTTAGCTAAAATTTATTTCAATATTACAATTAAAAAAGAAAATGTCTGGCTGCGGTAACGTTTCAAACGTTACCCCAGCAGGAAATGTTTTTTTTAAATAACTAAAAAAGTTTAAGTGAAACAAATTTGAAAATGTGCCTAACAATTACAGAAGGGGAGCAACTAATTATCTATAACGTTTAAATGACCATTTTCGACATTATTTTGCTGGGGTAACGCACACCTATCTTATGCAATATGCATTGCCTTTGAACACTTCCTCTACCATCATCCTAAGCTAAATTCTTTTTAAGTAGTGTGGAAATGATTCTTTTAGCAATAAAAAATAATGAAGCAGAAGATACTTCTATGTAAATGCAATTTGCATAACAAATGCTATGTCCATAGATACAGCTCTGTATGTGTGTACATGTACTACAAGCGATTACCAGGAGTCCTATTTCACTTTTGAACAAAAACTTTTCTTGTGTGTCAGACGCGTTGTAGGTAAACATTTTTAAACATTTTGGTTAATTTGTTAGTCGAAATCAATTATAAAAAGAAAAAATCGTCGTATCGTATCATACTTATCATTTCCAATGAAGCTTTCTCTTTCAGTTTCTTTTTTTTAAATCTTTTCTTCGGTTTCACAATATTTTTAAACGCTTGATAAATGTACTTTCGAGGTGCGAGAACAAAATGGTAGCCAACCTTATAAGGCTACCAGAGCAGAGATATTGTGCTATCCACAAGATCTCTGCTCTGATTAAGAGTAATTTTTATATGTAACATAATAACATTTCGAATCTGAATACGAATACGGATATAATTTTTTTTTTTATTTATTTATCTCTTTATTGTACACCACTGCAGTATTATTTGTACAGATATTACATACATTTCTGTATAACAATAGGCGGTCTTATCGCTCACGGCGATCTCTTTCTACCTTTATACTAGGTTGTCTACCTTTATACGGATATTGTCAAAAAATAAATAAATAACAAAAACACAACAATAATAAACAACAAAAACTATACAGGTCGAAATATTATACCGGTTATGATCACAGATATTAAATTATTATGGATTATACGCTAGTTTCGTTTACAATTTTTTTTTTTTAAAGAAGTGATGAAAAAAGCAAATAGTAGGTAACATCAATGATTTGACTTTATTTAAGGTCTATTGTGTCCATTTCATGTGTGTGTGTAAAGTTCCCCGCTACACAATATATATTCAAAAAGAAAATAGTATGACAATGTATTATGATTCAGAGCTCGCTGGAATCCAAAGAAGTACGGACGCCCCGTGTGAATAATTTTAAATGACTACAGTATATTGTACCCTCACGTAATTCTAATCGTTCAACTTCTAATCGTATAATCTAATCCACCTAGGTTGATCCCCTACGGTATTCTTAGTGTTATCTAGGTACTTAAATACAAAAACAAAAAATAAATACATTTTATAAAACTGTTCGATTCTTTATAATAATTAGTTGTATATTATGATATACCTCACGCATAATATACCTCACACATCTCACACACGGCTGTCTGATCCCAAACTAGGCAGAGCCTGTGCACAGCGCATAATATGTATGTATTTAAAATATATTAATATGTTTAAAATACTTTTATATTTTAAATACATACATATTATAAATAAATTCAACCCAGACACAGAACAAGTGATCATGCTCATCACACAATATTTGTCCTTGGTGGGAAACGAACCCACGACCTCCGGCTTAACAGAACGAACCACTAGACCAACAGGCCTGTCTTTCAATAATTATTTGTATCAGAAAAAATCGCAACTCGCGATGATAATCATCATCATCAACAGCCTTTAACAGTCCACTGCTGGACACAGGCCTTTCCTTAAAAATTATTACAACTATGTGTTTTTATAATTCCTGATACGAATAATTATCGGCCTTCGTTAGCCATTACTTTGCGTATTAAAGAGTAAAGTTACATTGGTTTTTTTTTTACTTCAGTGTATATCGATTTAAGATGAAGTTAAGCGAAGGAGCGAGCACTTCCTTTCCAGGAAAATGTTTTACCGCACTGTTTACATTTTTGCAGAATCGTCATTAACTTGAATAAAAAATATCCAAATTAAACTAGACTTATGATTGACATTTTGCCTAAATACCAATTTATTTGTTAATTGACACATTTTTTTATCTAAGTACTCACATATTATTTTGGCAACTTGGCGACTGGCAAGCAATACAGGACACACGGCTAGTAATTCGGTTCTGCTAAAATTACTCATTTAGACTTTGCCCTGTACGAAATTCTTATTTTGGTTTGAGTTCAATTTTATTTCGAAAATGCGATAGTTTCTGTTAGGCATGGGACAAAATGACTGTGAACTGTGAAAGACCGGACTTTCGATTTATCATTCGATTTTTTCGTACGTAGGTTAGGGTTGCTACTTACTCCCGCATTGTTGCCAATGAGCTGTTCACGTTCAAACAATGCATAAAGCATCCCTATTTCGTGTATTTAACAGTTAATCTAATAATTATTTTATTAAATATAGCTAAAATACAAAATAATTAAAAAAATACAATATTTAGTGTTAAATAGCGTCTAACCGGCTAAAACTGTGATTTTGTCCCATGTCTAGTTTCCGTTACGGTTACGAAACTCCATAACATCCCTACTACCGGTCGATAGCAGGCTGTTGACTTTTTGACTGTTAACTTGACGGTTTGACAGTGACATTTCTCAGTAAAGGAAGCACTAGCCTCAGTACTACTCAGTAGCCTTTAGCCTTTCACTCACTGGCAGTGGATGAAAGTTATGAAACTGTAAGATTTTCATTTTTGAATGTTAATGTGTTGAATCAAATTCATTTACAGCTCTGTTATAAACTCATTGATTCGTGCTTACATTATAAGCAGTCATGTTGTAAAAGAGAGGTGTTCAATATACAACTCAATAATGCACATGGACATATGATTTTAAAAAATTGTAGCTGAAATCATAAATTAAAATGGAAAGTAGTATACTCAGACAATTTTCATGTAATTACAAACATATTATAATAGACGAGATTGCCTTAGAAGGATTAGAAGGCATTTCTTTTGACTTATTATGGAGACGAGTCGGGAAACGACTTTCGGCAGGCATAACCGAGAAAACCAAGGCAAGATATTGGGGTTTCATAACAAAAAACAATAGTTTGTCATTTTATGAACTACCAGAACCATTTCCTCATATAGAAATAATAGATAGATTTACAATGATTGATGAAAGTTCAGGCCATCTATTAGAACCAGTAAGTATGTTTTTTTTTTGTGATATGGGGGGCAAATCAGAAACGGTCACCTGATGTTAAGGAACACTGTGATGATTCACCGTGCGGATGCCTGGTCCATCGCATGATAGATAGGGCAACTCATGCGACTTTGACAGTGCCAAGAATAGCTTTAGGGAGTACCTCTGGTGATGTGTCAGCCCTCACCTTTGCTGTCTATATGGTAAGGTAGAGGGAATGATACATCCCTCTACCTTACCATATTTGATACGCCCCTAGCAATGCCGCTTTGGATATTCATTCATTTATTCTATATTTTTTAAATAATGCATGAAATAATTGGAAACTATTGATAATTTAATGAAATGTGTTTCTGTCTGTTACTGGACTGTGCATTAATCTTAGCATGAGATTAACACAGTAGTACCTATCTTTTCTCATGATTTGTTCAGCCTAGTCACCTCTGCCTTAGGTGAAATATCTCTCAGAGATTAGCCAAATCAGATGTCATTATAACTTTTTTAGAACCCACTTCTTGTGTTTTCAAATAGAACTGTAGTGCTGCTTTTAGATAATCAAAGCATTCAGTTCCACCCAAGTATAGTATGGGTGTAACATTTGATGTTAATCCCCATTGACTCAAGAGTCTTATATCTTATAACACACAATTGCACTGTGGTATTTCTGGACTAATATGACATCCTAACCTACAATAGAAGAATGTATTCTCACCTACAAAGGCTGGTAAGGTATTGTGACTCCTTAATCACAAGTGTCTATGGGCCTGCCACTCATAGTCACTTTTTATCAGGAGGCTCATTCGCCACATGTCATCAAATATATTTGCCATCTTTGGACTTGTGTTAAAATTATGGTAAATAAAAATGTAAATAAAATTTAATTCATTCCAGGATGATTATTTGGATGGCCCATATGAATACAATCCTATTGAGAATGAATATGGATCAAGTAGATTCTACAATTCAAGAAAATGTGTTACTTCATTAGACAGTCTTACATACGAAGAGGCAATGACAAAATACGGAGAAACACTTGTTGTAGTAGCAAGTATTGAAGATAGGTGGCATGCTTTAGCACCACACATGCCTATAACATATTTGTATCAAATGATGCCTATCAATTATTGCTTGTTGGAATTGATTGGCAAGTCTAGAGAAAATGTAAGTATACTTTGGTTTTACTTAGTTTACTAGCTTAGTTTCTGTAACATTTTTTATTTACAACACTACAACAAATAGGACCTGAGCAGGTCCTATTTGTTGTAGTGATATATATTCTACTAGCTTTTGTCCTTGGCTGTTGCTGTTGATCTTGGACTAATTGTATACCAAATTTCATCTAAATTGGTTCAGTTTAAATGTGAAGAGGTAACAGACAGACATACACACTTTCGCATTTATAATATTAGTATGAATTCTATACCCTCCTCGATAAATGGGCCATTGAATTAGTTCCTGAGATGAGCATTCAACCAAATAAACAAATTCTTCTGCTTTATATCCACATAACATTAGTATAGAAGACATTTAATTAAATCTATTAAATATTACTGTCGGAACAAAGTAAGCCCAGACCGGGCCAAATTGTATAGGGTTTTTCTAAGAGGAATAGCCTAAGTTACTCCTTATATAGACAGCTACCTGGTAGTAAAATATTATCAAAATTGATCAAGCCGTTTTGAAGATTACCCGGAACAAACAGACAGACAAAAAATTCTTAAATAATTTTTAGGCATAAGTTTTGTCTCAATAACCATGTGAGCATGAAAAAACTTTTTGACATTATAAACTTCAATTTTATTTATTTGTATAGATTGCAATTATTTTTTTCTGAAAACTTTATTCAGACTACTCTTAAGAGTTGTGTTTATCAACTATTAGTATGTAATTAAGTGTTTTTCTGATTTTATTCCAGGGGCAAATGTCTGTAGGCAAGACAAATTTACATAAAATTATAAAAGACTCCAAGACATTATTCTATAACAGAAAACATTTGAAGGATTTAGATCTAGTTAATTTGCAAAATATAACACAAGTTATCAAAGGCAAAGGTATTAAGTGTTTACTTATAAGATTAAAAAGGTTCCATAAACCTGAAGTGCTAAGTATGCCCAAAGTGGGTATGGTGCATAATGTCCTTCAACACTTACTTAAAGCGCCAAATTACAGTGAAAGAACAGAACTACTAGTAAAGAAAGGAATTTTAACACAGAAGCAAAATAGAAGATTGCAGAAAACTGTCAACATTTTCAGCTTTGTAAGTTTTTATTTCTCTTGTTTCTTGTATTTCTTACTGAAAAATAGTTTATAGTCACCTATAAGAAACGTGAACAGCTTACTTTTTTACAAGTAACCACTAGCTAGCTACTTTATGTAAGATATGCCCCTGTTGACTTTTGAAAAACGATGTTTACCATTTTCAAGACTGAAGGCTTAATAAGTAATACTTGTAGTTTGTCTTTGTTGAACATGTACATGACGACAAAATAGTAAAATAAAATTTGGTGAAATAAATATTTTAATGTAAATCCTATAGTTCCTATAGTAAGCCAAAACCTTTCTAAGGGGAAGTCTAAGGGGGGGTGGATGATGATTATGATAACGAGGAGGATAGCCCAATAAGCCCAGGAAGAATTGAAATGAGAAATAATCAATGTGTATAAAAGGCGTCTGATGTTATGGTTTAATGCATTTTCAGGAAGACAGATTAGTACAAGTTCCAGATATATGTGGGAGTGGGAAAAGCAAAAAACCAAAACTTACTCAGAAAAGAAGATACATTTGCCTTTCATCCAAGAGCGATGAATCTGGCGCTTCTGATGAGGAATCGAATGAACAAGTTTTATCATGTCAGTACAAAGTAGGCATCAACATAATGAGACAAGCATATGAACAGTTCTTAGATGCTGGACTCCAAGGTCTCACTCAAGTTCAGCTTTCACATCTACTTGGTATCGAATTCTACACGGCACGCGCAATCTGCAGAATATTTAGAGTTCGGAATATTGTTAGGGAGTATCTTGAGGATAAAGGCAAACAGAGAACTGCAAGGTAATCTATTTATCTCCTTTCCTTATTTCTGCCATCTCTCCTCAAGCTTTTCATTATTTGTTTATAATTATCATCAGGGCATCCACTGCAAAATGTCGATTCAATAGTGGACAAGCATATGGCCACCTAACTGTAAGATATGCTGAATACAAATACAAACAACTCTTAATTTTGTGCACACATGTTCTCCTAATAATATTTGTGAATTCTAAATTGCAGATTCATTGCAGTTGTAGCCACAGAAAAAATGGACAAAAAATATGAAGAACAACGAAATAAGTTCTTAGAACATTTAGAGCAATGCAAATCTGAAGCTTCGCAATCTGAAATTATACAACCTTCAACAAGTGATGAGGAAGTGCCACTAAAGAGAATAAAACTCGAAAAAGAAAATATGGACACTAATGACGCCGATGTAGATATGGATCCAACAAATGAAATCACTGAAATCAAAGTATTAGATGGCTTTGAGAACTCCAAATCTCTTGGCTGTTTTAAAAAGAACCCAACACTAAGACAGTTGAAATTTGCAAATGGCATTCTTAAAGTTCTCAAAGAAAAGCTTTGTATATCCAGTTACATGACATTGAGCAATTTGGCTTCTAAAGAAGTCAATGAACCACCGATGGATACCAAGTCTCTTAAATCTTTTATACAAAAGCTGGTTACTGATGGGCACATAAAATTGTATAAAATCAAATGGCCTGGCCTCCAAAGATATTCAGTGTTAATCTGTGCCCATAATATCAAAATTTCAGATCCAATAATACATGCTAAATATAAAGAAGTTTGTATGAGAGCAGTCATTAATAAAAAAGTAAATCCAAAAAGAGAGTTACTTGAAAATGCAGAGCATGCAGCTAAAGTAAGGAGGTCCTATCCGCGATATATGAAAATTCAAAAACTGCATGAGTTTATCATGAATGTTTCTTACTTTGACTATGTTAAACCTGAATCACACACTTTACCGCAAGGTTTTGTATGTGTGGTTGATTTATTCCCAGAGGCTACAGTTGAATTCTTAATAAATAACCTCTGTGCATCAGCAGCCATTGAAATATACCAACTAATAAGTGATAACCAGTTACAGCTAAAACTTAAAGATACACCATCAAATATATATAATATACTTATGAAATCAAAAATGATACAAAATTCAATAAGGTTGAATTTGAAAGTTTTGGCAATGTTGGGTCTAATACAACTAGTGAGCTGCGAAACTGCTGTGACAAATACTGCTGGTGTCAGCAATTACTCAAGTTTCTTATTTTACGTCAATCGTCATGCAAAAATATTGGATACTTCAGGCACTTGGCCCAGAAACAAACAAGACGTCAAAGAATTATCATTCTATGTCGGAACACCCGAGGGTTTGTCTAAGTACTGGTCCGAAGTGTTTAACATCAGTACAGCTACTGAAATAATCCTTCCGGGACGGGGAAGAAAACCTTTACTACCACCATTACGATCAGCTTCCGATGTTGAGAAATATGACACGGGGGAAAGATTTGGTGACGGCTTAGGGCCGTGCGGCTTCGATTCGTGCTTTTACATGGAAATACCAAGGTTGTGGCAGACATTCTACACGAGGATAAATAGAAAAATAATTAAGAAAAAGACCAAAACACCTAAGTTAGAAGCAGTAAAGAAAACCAAGATCAAGCCAAAAGTAAAACCTTCTAAGAAGGGTATTGTAGAAAGAACTTCCGCACCCGTGAAACGACGAAGAAGCGACGCTACTGTAAAATGGACTAAGAAAGAAGATCTTATCATAACCATCTGTAAAGCTGCTATAACAATTATGAGCCCAAATTCACAACCTGGAAGCCTTATAGTCAGAAATATCGTAGCAAAAGATTTGCTCTCTATCAATGATCCAAGAAAAACAAAAGGGATCTGTCATAGTAGAGCCGCAACCATCGATACTAATATTAGTTTCATTCATGAAAAACAATGCATCATCAACGAAATGAGGCGGAGACGTAATTTAGTTCAAAGGTATGAGGGCCTCTTGAAAAAACTTAGGCTCAAATACTCGACCAATATGACAAAATTTATTAATAAGGCCAGGATACCTATGTTGGAGTTGATATGGATCATATTTCAAATTATGCAAAGTAAATCTTACATCCAGAGAATGCCATGTGTGGCCTTAAACCTTGAAGATTTTCATAAACATTTCAATATAACTACATCAACTGCAAACAAACTGTGTAATATGTATAAAATATCAGAGAATTCGCCTTTGAAAGAAGCAATTGTACTAAGTATAATGCAAACTTTAGATAGTGAGCTTGACACTGAAACAGCAAATAGAATTTATACGACATTTAAGGATTACCCTGAGAGCGCTTTACGAATCGCTGTAGAACAATTACGTAAATGTTCTGCAATCGCAGCAAAAGAAAAACTCTTCAACAATCAAATCCGCAAACTCGATTTAGAAGATATAGCACAGTCTTCTTACAAAATATCCGTGTTCTACAAACGGAGATGGATATGCAGACTAAACTCGGACTTTGCGGATAAATTGGCTGATGTGTTGGAAACAGTGAAATCTGAAAAGGAAATAAAAGGGTCGGCGGAACTAAACTGTGCCGTTTGCGAATTAGGAGCTTGTGGTATAATGGAAATAGAATCTACCACAGTGCCCGTTATAACCGATGCAAATGGTATTCCTATCACGCCGGGAGAGATAAGTGCACTGACAATAGATACCAAATATCACCTAAAGACAGGTACAATGAGATGGAAAACGAAGGATACCGTCGATGTATCGGAGCTATATCAGGATATAGATTTCAGCGACAGCATAGAGTATCTATCAAAGTAAGGTTTTTGTGAGTTTTTATCCTCATCATTTATGATAATCACCTAACGGAAATCTATATAAAATATCTTTAAAAGCATTCAGACATTTCGTCATTAAGAAAAGAAATAACGCTTTTAAGACTATCATCTACTTAGATCTCCTTACTATTATAGAATATGTCACACACAAGTCATATTACTTTGATTTAGTTTTCTGGAGAGCTCGATTTCATATCTTAAGTCAAATGAACAATAATCATTGATCTGCTTGTTATTATAATTATTTTTAGCAGAAGCAACACAGTGATGCTTCTCAATTTTGGTAACGAGTTAGTTGGTAGTTCCTGGTTTGTCCACATATCAAAGATACACTCTGTGTCTAGATAATATATAAAATATTTAGCTTTTACCACATAGCACTAATTGTTCCGTGAGGTGACGAATTAAGAATATGGAGTGTCATCACCCCTATTCTTTCCGTGGGTGCCGTAAGAGCCGGCTAAGGAAGCAAACTACGCATCACATCTCCGATCGGCTCGATCCCACGGCGTTACGTAGAGATGTTGCTTCACTCTGCATTCTCGATCGCACATATTATGGAGAGTGTTCCGAGGAATTGTTCGGACTAATACCATACGCAACTTTCCGCCATCGTTCCACACGGCAAAATTTTCATCCTCATCACCTGGATAGTTGTCGCTCCACTACTATGCGCTTTTCGAGTCACTTTTTGCCCCGCACAACCAATCTGTGGAACAAGTTATCGTCTGCGGTATTTACGGACCGATACGACCTTCAAGAAAAGAACGTACTCCTTCCTCAAAAGGCCGGCAATGCGTTTGTGTCTCCTGAGTTGCATACGTTCATGGGCGGCGATGGTCACTTTCCATCAGGTGACCCGTCTGCTCTTCTGCCCCCTCTAACATAAAAAAAATGACAACAGCACTGCAAAGAGAAGGAAAACTTAAACCCTATACCAACCTATCTGGCCAGTGTGGTATAGTAGGCCAAAACCTCTTTTCTGAGGAGAGGCCTATGTCCAGCAGTGGACTATCAAAGGCTGTTGATGTGATGTGACTAATTGGTCCATATTATCTGTTCAGCAAATTCAATTTTGTTGTTGTATGTCATTCACCTCATACATGACTTTATTATGACGTTTAAGAATATATTTTCGATGTTTGTTTTTTTAGTGCCGGTATCGTAGCTGTTGGGGAAATAGAAGTCTCCAACCAAGAGTTAAATGATGAGGTTGTTTTATATTTGAAACAAAAAGGGGAGAAAGGTGCAACATATGCTGAGCTCCAGGTAATTTCTATTCAAAGTTTTATTCTTTTTTCATTTTTTTCTCACATTGTTCGTGTGATTGAGTGATTGTAGTGGTTAGTGACCCTGACTGCTAAGCCGGAGGTCTTGGGTTCGATTCCCACCCAGGGTGTAAGTTATCTATCATGTATGTATTTAAAAATATATAAGTATGTTTATCAGCAGTCCGGTAACCATAGCACAGGCTCTGCCTAGTTTGGGTTCAGACGGCCTTGTGTGGGATGTCTGAGGTATTGAGTTATTGAGTAACACCAATAATAATTGGAGATATTTAGTACTGTTGACATTCAGGACGCACATCGTTTTTTCAAGGTGTACTGTGTTTTGTTATTTGAAGACAACCCCAAATGCAGATATATGTTTAGGATTATATCATGTAATCGTGGGAGAGCCATGCTTTGGTATAAATGAACTGGCTCGGCCAGAGTGATCGTCGTCGCAGAAAACCAGTGTTAAGTAATTCCTTCGTTGCTTTTCACTGAATCAGTGATGTTATGGGAGCCCAAACCTCCCCCTTCCTTTTTTTGTTGGGCTGGCCTCAGACGTCCTACTTTGGGACCATATGATTTCAGGTCTTGCCCGAATCGACACATCCGGGGGAAGCGACTTTTCCAAATATTTTACAACAAAAAGTCCCAAATATCTACATATATATCAACTTTTCTAATTTTCTATCTATAGACAACTTTTCTAATTTTACTTTCCCGTTACGTTCTTTACTTCTTCGGACGCCCGACGACTTAATCAAATAATGCCCTGACTAACGATTAGCATTTTATTCAAAATAGATTTAAGATATTTAAATATATGCTTGCTTTGGAAAAGTCAAAACCAAAAACTCATGACCATGAAATATTAAAGGTTACCTCTTTTTTTTCTTTAAAGACAACTCTTGCACTAGGAGTATTTCCTGTGTCACGGGAGACTTTACATACATACATGGTATCAGACACAAAGAAAGCCCAGACTCAGAACAAAAATTTGTAGATCACGCAAAGTGATGTCCCGTGTGGGGATCGGACCCACAACACTCAGCGGTATGAAGTCACACTCAGTATGAAGCGGCGAGGTGACCGCAACCACTACCATCCATGTAGTCGTAGACTCGTGTTCCGATTTAAATGATTACAACAACATAAACTTAGTAACTTAAATAAAGATGTACAATGTGTGGTGTGAGACGGATGGACAAGGTTAGGAATGAGTATATAGAAGTTAAGATTATCTTGGTATGGACATGTCATAGGTGAAAGATGCGATTCTTCAAACGTGTCTTTTAAAATGGTGATATTGCTCGATATATATGGATTTGACATATGGATAATACGATAATCCAATTTTAACAAACCAAGTTTGGTTCCCACCACGTCATAGGAGCAGCTCTATCAACCTCAAATGCCTATTTTAGACCAAGACCGCAACATAATAATATTTATAAACAAGATATTGTAATATGTATAATAAAAAATATTCTAATTACACATAAACAGTTTTAGCTTGTGTTATGTATATATAACACATAATAATATGTTATATCTACTAAGGCATATGCTCTCTATTTTGCAGGCGTTTGTCCGAATTGCACCTGAGACTCTTGAAGAAAGATTACTGCAACTTCAGGCGGAAAAAATTATAAAAAGAGTTGGATTTTATGAAAATGTTATAATATTAACTGGATATTTTTCATCATGGTCGACAAAGATTGATGATAAATATGTGATAAGTACTCCTTGGCTAAAACTAACCTCAGGAATAAAGCATAACGTATTTTTACAATGGGCCAGCGTAGTAATGAACGCTATATTTGAAAAACCAGGTTCCTCTGTAGCTTATATTGCAGATAAATCTGAATTTATAACCTACAGGGCTGTACAAGACATTTGTATATTTTTAGAAAAAAATAAATGTATCACATTAAAATCTGTAAAAATGCCAGCTCAAGATTTATTTTCAGATGAAGACCTTGAACCACAGCTTTACGAGTTTAACCCATTTTTTGCCCCGGAGGAAATATTGGTTTTTCCTGCCAAAAATTGTTTGACACAATATTCATATCTAAGAAAAAGGTTTAAACACAAATTTTCAGAATAATATTGACCTGATATTATATAAGATTATATTAATAGTATGTATAGGCGTTATTTAATAAAATATTGTTTACATTCTTCTGAAAATGACAATAAATGTAAGCAAGAAACCTTTTCAGTTTTCTTTTGCCTCTGCTTTAGCTAGTCCTTAGAAAGAAGGTTTTCCAGTTTTCTTACTTACATTGATTGTCACTGCGTTCCTAGGATTAATCACCTTATAAGTCTACCCGCAAAGTATAGAATTATTTCATACTTTATAAAAAATGATACACAGTGACAATTAGGGTAAGTAGGAAATATCTTAGTTGCCCTACTTCACTGACCTCCATTATTCAAATACGTTGGACTGCATATATTATGTCGTTTCAAACTAAACCCATTTGCTTTTCGCCAATTTGGCGCTGACGACAGTGTAAAGTTGCGTGGCACTAATATTAGGAATGAGACATAAGCTAGCGATGAAAAAGTATTGCATTACTTTATTTAAGTTTTATATTTTTATACATGTGTAAAAAGAATTTCACCCAGCTATTAACACTTTATTAGCATTTAAGAAATCAACTTCAAATCAACAACAATTTCTAATTTCATTTAAATTTTAAATCTTTCTCTTATTAACTAGTAGTTCACTGCGAAGTGAATTAGAGGCGGCTTTCATAGTAAATAAGAGGGTGCTTCCATATTTCGACATCCACTTGACAGATTTGGCTCATATACGATCTCAAAAAATCTACTTGCTTTAGAAATCCACTTGCAAAATGTCCTGAAGATCCGATCAACGATACTGTAATTGTCATCGAACAAATAAATACAGAATCCATTCTTCAGCCCCAGATATCTTCGTTGAACTTCGATGAGTGAGAGTACTAATCCAGTTTTTCTGTTGACAGGGTAAATCTATATAGTATGAAAAGATAAACATAACATACGGAATGAAAAAAAAAAGGCACTGGCGAGCCTAAATAATTTGAGGTAACAAAAAATTATGTACTCTTCCAGTTATTTTGTTAAAACGTAAAACCTAATACATCTATGTATTCAGTCATTATTGTTTTTATGATCATTTAAAAACGACTTGTAAAATTATCAAAAAAGAGGTACTTTTTTTATTTTGAAGAAAATAATTAATATATTCAATAAAGAAACTCGGTGAATAAATGGATAGACACAATTTCGAAGTGGAGTAATCGCATCCCTATTCAGTGATTCTTTATTTGCAACAAATGTCAATTTTAAATACCCGAGAACCTTGCTTTAAAATGGCACAAAAACAACTGTTATTTCTATTGAATATTTGGTCCAGTGTACTTGTATAATAGAGGTCGATGTCCTACTTACACTACTTGTCATTGTAGTTCAAAGATTAATCATCTTATAATATGTCTTATATCTACTCGCAATGTAAAATTGTTTTTTAGTTTATAGATGTATGATAATATACCTAATATTGATACCGATAAATCTGCTATTGTGATTTCAAACTTCCCACCGTTTTTAGTACCCTATGTTGCCAGGTCCCAAACTCATAATTTATTTATTTCTCAACTGAAGTAGAAAACTAAAGAAAATACACACTGATCATGTGAGCCTGTTTAATTAACATAATCCCCAAGAATGAAAATGAGTGAGGCCAGTCAGACAACAGGAAACAACTTCACATTGTTGTCTTTTTTCGGGAGACTAGAAACATACATGAAATGGAAACAAAGAACACCCAGACTCAGAACAACACATGTGGGGATCGAACTCATAACATTCAGCGAGGTAGAAACAACATAGGATAACACACTACATAATAACTCTACAGTATAGTCCATCTAAACGTTCGTTGTCTGTAAGAGTTCGTAGAAGAGTTTTTTTTTGCATTGTACATTGTACGTTTCCTATCCATGGTGTGCAAAAAAGAGTACTTATCTATCTAAAATACAAACGTAAAAATGTTAATCTTCGACTTTTTCGTTTCCTCTTATAAATGTATGTATGTATGTATGTTTTTTCTTTACACACAACAACAAGGATTTAATTAGTTTGTAATAAAATCACTTGACGATGAAGAAAAGAACAGCTTAAGTTGAGACGACAGACAAATACACATTAGTCTTTATTTAAATCTGTAATAGCTGTTCTTTAATTTTTTTAGTAATCCACCTGTTTAAGCATTGTAATATAGTGTAGCCAGAAATAGAATTATAATTTCTTCCTGTTTGTTGTGAGTCCCGAGGAGGGAAGAGTAGTGAAGAATAAAAATTGAAACTTAGTTGGAAAGAAAACGACATTTGTAACATATGATTTACTCAGAGTCTTTATGTTAACTAATTCAATTCAAGGATGACAAACGCAGCCTGTGGCTATATTTGATATTAGTCAAACTTTTTCTTAATCCTACCTATGGAGGGTAGAGGCAAGTTTAACCAACTCTGTGTATTATAGTGTTCGTAAAAATGCGTTCAATAAGGGTGGCGCTGCGGTAGCCTAGGATAAATTTATATTGGCATAGACACTACTAGACTGCGAAAATAGTCAATGAGTTTTAACTTTCTGACAATAAAAGTATTATAATATTTTAACTTAGCACGCCAGCTGTATACTGAAAATAGAGGTCGCTGGCGTACGAAAAAATACGATATGAACATTGTTGTAGACGAAGTGAAGTGTTTTCTACTTTACCCCATATGAAATGGTTCTCCTTGCCTAATCTATCCTACACTCCATAATCTTACCTCAGTGGCTTTGACTAATATTATCTGTGCCACATTGTGAGGTGAAACATTATGTCAATTACGTCTTTCCTTGGAGTGATAATGGCATAGAGAAATAAGCATAGAGTGAACAACAGCCCTAATCTAATGCAATAAAGGCAACAAGAGAGATGGATATGGATAGTTTCCTCTAACTCTTTCTATTCGAGCTCTTTGGTTGGCTGGGGAATTACAAATCTCCCGTCTGTTCTACGATCAAAACCATGTCCACTTCACGATAGCCAATCGCAGCTTACCTAAACAGAGACAGAGGGAACTATCGGGCATCCAAGTGAAAGCGATACAGGCAACGAGAGAGATGTCTCGTTGCCTGTATCGCTTTCACTTACAGGCAGCTGTACCCCGTGTTCTCTCTATAGGTAATAGTCAATAGTATTGCCAATCATAATTAAATAGCCTGAAATATAACGTAAACTATTGTGGTTATAATTCCTAAAAAAAAATAACTTGCAATACTCCAAGGAATAGGTACATTTTGCAAAAAACTCAATTTTTGCTAACTGAAGAATTGTTTTCAATTTTAGCCATTGGACCCTGTGGAATTATTAATAATATTTAAAACCTTACAGAAGATGTATTCATTACATATCAACGCAGAAAAAACATATTATTATATTTGTCACAAGCCGATGAATGTTTTTTTTTAAATAGTAACAATTATTTTGAAAAAAATAAAATTGCATTCCATTGATTTCCATGGACGAATAAGTTGGTTGGAAATCAATGGCATGCAATATTTGTTAAATTATGTAATTATGGTTTTTTTGTTACTATGCATTTCCTAGATTTAAAAAAATGCATCAAATAATAACAAAACACATTTTTTTTCATAGAATCATACTCAAACGAAGATAGTCTAACGATCGATTGTCATTTGTTCAATTTGTCTATGGTAAATTTTATTTTGCTTATAGCAATGTTTCCAAAAGGGAGTGAGTGAAGTGAAGTAGGGCAATTCGCCATTTTTGCTTTTAGTGAAGGGGGATTTTATATTTGTCAGGCTGGAGAACGAGGAATATTTTGTAAAAAGTGTGTCATTAGATTTAATTTATAGTAGCAAAGACTTTATTTGAACGAAATTTTAGTATAATAGTGTGGTTTTATTTATTACTAACGTTTGTATGTAGTGCTACTTCCCCATCGTAAAATTTGCTCGTTGGTGTGTCGCTTTAGCTAATTCAATGGCTATGTTATTGAAGTTTTAATCGAACGTGTCGCTTTGACGGTTTCCTCCCGGGGTAGTATCGAAAAAGCAAGGCGACGCCTTTAGAAATGAGCAGGCCTCAAGGCGGACGCATTCAAGTCCCGGATGACCTTAGAGAAATCTTATTGGAGTTCACCATAAGTTATCTGCTGGAGCAGCCGGGCGACGTGATCAACTACGCGGTCGAGTTCTTCACAAGATTACAAAATAACAGGACGACTACCATAGTGAGGGGTCCAATCGCCGGCACACCCGATGAGTCCATAATATCTGACGAAGAAGGTACTATTCTTTTGCTATGTTCATTATAGAAAACACTGTTACCTGTTGTCGACTAACAAAGGTGGGTTTAGTAGAGGTATGCTAGTAGCTGTTGGGCTCGAACATTCCCATAATATGATTACAGACCTTACCATTTAAAGGCTCCCTATAGTAAGCTGTTTCTTCTGCTACTTTTTCTTTATAAACTAAACTGTTGACACAACTTAGGGTGCTTCAGTTTTAGGAACGAAATCCATGACCTTTATGTAAACAGCAAGGTTTGCAGTGATACAACAATATGTCAAATATTTTAATTACATTGATATTTTTTTCATTTGTTTATATCTAATGGAAATAAGGTATAAAAAATAACTAATAATGTTATACCTTATAACAGACAGCTATTATTTATTTATAGCTTGCCATTGATAAAAAAAATATTAGTATATAAGTAATTATCCAGTAGCATAAAATATAATTTTAAAACTTGTTGATAATTGTTGTACAATCAAACTGAACCTTTCATGATATTTAAAACATAAAAACTTGGCATATTGCCATCACAATTTCAATGGTATATAATTTTATTTATGAAGAATACTATAATACTTTGCTGTTGCCAAGTGATAAATAATGAGAAGAGAGAAAATAATGTCCAGCAAGACTATTTCCTCCATCTGTTAAACATGAAAGAATCTTAATCTATATAATACCTTAGTATTTAAATTAATTTTATAAAGTCTGATATAAAATTATGAATCAGTTAATTTACTTATACACATGTAACTCAAACAATAGTTTCATACATTTTACAAATTATATTACATGTATTTATGACATTCTAAATTATTATTTTTTTGAAATAAAATCGCATTAAACCAATGCTCTAAACAAATAACACTTAAATAGTATAACTCTTGGTTCAAATGTCTGATTTATTAAAAAATATTGCATGGATAGTGTAGTGGTTTAAGCAGTTGCCACTCATCTCACTACTACACTGAGTGTTGTGGGTCCGATCCCCACATGGGAAGACACTGTGTGTGATCCACAAATTCTTTTTCTGAGTCTGGGTGTTCTTTTTATCCCATTTATGTTGGGAAACTTCCCCGCTACACAGGATATATTACTAATACGGGAGTTGTTTTTATAGAGAGAAAAAAAAAGACCCCATTATTGTATGGTCACTAGTCTTATAATCTATAGTTTATTCAAGTGTTTAATGCCATCAGTATATAGTTCTTATAAGTATAGAAACAGAACACTAGCTAGTCTCAGAGAGCCTCAATACTAAAGGTTTTATAAACATATTGTTTGTTAATGCATAAATCTACATTGTTTACTATATGATTCTATTTGCGTGTTTGTTTTTTAACACTGATGTTGTGTGATGCCGAGATTGGCTTATTTTTCCATGTCTGCTGCTCAGTTTAACATTGTGAACCAAACCAGATGTTGAAAATTTTACACTTGTGTTATTTAAAATTAGCTGAGCCTATGTAACATCAGGTAGCATAGTATCACATTGAAATTGTTCAAGTGTTAACTGGACCTTGAGCTATATTTGTGTAAAATATTTTCTTTACATGGTTTTGTTCAATACAGTATGTATGACACTAAACTAGCGCATTTACAGCTCCATCAACTTAATGATTCATTTTAGAATAATTTACCAAAGTGCATTTGAACATAACTCAAAATAGTTACCATTTTCAGCAGTGGGTTAGTGAACACCTGTTGATAATACTAATGATATATTCCCATAATAATTTTAGTTGATTACACTTAATTGTAATGTAATAAAATAGTATTTTATAAATAGTTATAAATTATTACTTGTAATAGAACATGATATGAAGAAGCTGACAAAAACAACTTCCTTAATAAAATAATTAAGAGACATAATCAATGGCATCAAGAAGTATGGTTAAAAAGACTTCAGTTAACCAAAATAAAATATGAATCATATGAATATCCTAAGAAGTGATAAATATTAAAATTAATATCTATATCTCTCTTTTTTATTTAAGTTTCTTATTCACTGCACACCCTACTTTACAACTGCTGATGTAATTACTTTTGACAAACCCCAAGCAGTGATTAATTGTAAGATTCTTATTGTTTTTAATATTTTATATCTATTAGGGGTAAGGTAAACTATTAGGGGTAAGGTCAGATTAGATCACTCAATGTAAATATTACTTAACACATTAAATTATCAAAGTGTAAACAAGTTGTGAAGTGCTATGCAGTCAGTCGTTGGAGGTTCTTTCATCTAACCATATAAACCTGTTTATCTACTATGTATATCTGTTAGCCGGTAATTTCTCTGGGCGGACGAGTCAGTCACGCGAAAAAAGCCTTTGACCTAATTATAATACTATATAATATAATTATAAGTTGCTCATTCCATTTGTGTAAGCTATGAAATGTAACACCGATAAATATATACCACCCCTAAGAGTGAAAATTAAGGAATGGAAATATAGGTGTAATAAAGTCAATCATATAAATTCGTACTTACGTGTGAAGTTAATTATTGAGTGCACAAGAATCGGCGGTAATGAGACGCTAAATGTTTTTTTTACAAGTACGGAGAATAGTTATTGTAATATAGGCATTACATCACACTTATAACACATACTTATAACACTTTCTCTCCACCAATTCCCTAGAGAAAGATCAGATATGTTTTATGTATCATTTCCGTTATAACTGGTTACGAAAAACTTTTGCTACCTCTTACACATAATAGATCGTGATTTAAATCATAGAAACTAAAGGAGTACATTTATTAGTAATACCGAGAGTTGTATCTAACATTTTCATTGCCGTCCGCCAGCTGGCCTTCGCCAACAAGTTGCACTGCTGGTTTACAAATTTACATTCAGAAAAGTCTCAATCGAAATCGGGAATAGGGACAGACACGGATGAAATAAATCTAAATTCACATTCGACATATCAATGTCTTCCAACTTACACGTAGAATTAGAAAACTAAATTCAAAGATTCCAGAATTCACATCACGCGTAATACATTTATTTGGGAAGATGCCCATGATTCGGCTAGCAACTTTAAATGTTTGTGTTTTAAATACATTAGGTTTACTACACATGTGTCGACCAAATCATCTCTCGACGAATGTACTTGCGTCATATACTACAAATATGTTTCTAAAGTAAACTCTCCCATAGTAAGGTTATGAAAACAGATGCAATCGAAATACGTCAGATAGGTACGTTTATGTAGGCATATAAGGCCTTAGCCACATTTTCCAATGGGATCGCGCTTAAGGAAGGTTTTTAAAGTAGGTATAATGATATTACAAAGTTACACAACATATTTATTCTGTAGTTATTAATAGTATAAGTTATGGGAAAGATAAAAACCTCCCGCAGCACAGCGGTTATACCTAATCGTTCCTGACAAAGATTTTTAATAAGTAGTGCCTTGCACCATATTCTTATACTAATGAAATGAAATACTATCCACATGAGCACGCCTTTTGCCAAAAACATTTATTTTCTCGTTAATTTCACCATGTCTATTTTGGCGTCGTAGAACTATCCTATCCAGGATCTATCCTAGAAAGAACTACCCTCTATGGAAAGAACTATCCTATCCTCAATACGAGATACTGGGGCAAAATGATCAAATTCTGGAGTGTCCTTTTTCCTAGATAATTTGCAATATTTCAATCTGTTGTGAAGTGGGTGAAAATAGCTTCTCAAGATTTTGTTACATACATACAAGTGAAACTGATAAAATCATTATGTTAAAAATAGTTAAAATACAGTCTGCAACGAAACGCGTTGAAAGTATAATTTTAATATATTATGCTCCATAGAGGGTTAAGCTTATGGGTTATGCTCCATAGAGGGCAATGTTATCTGCAAAATGAGACAAATTTTTGTGACACACTATCAATTTCTGCATCATTAGCACTAATCCAAACTCGACAATAATTGAATATGCTGTCTTTTTATGGAGATACTCTATAGACTGACATATTGTCATGACACGTATATTTAACTACGAGGGGTGATCGTCAAATAATAACGTTTGATGTGTTTTAACAAGTTATATGCTTGTTTTTGTTTTTTTTTCGAAGGGTATGAGTACAATGTAAAATAAAATAAAAAAAATAACCACCCATTTTTAATATTGTGATAGCAACTTAAACAAGTATCTAAGTTCAATCCGTTTAGTCAATTTATCAAGTTTAAACTGACAAACATGGGTTCAGTTCCGGCACCGTTAAATTCCTTTTTCCCTATTTAAATGTCGTTGTCGCGGCCTTTATTTCAGCGTCTGTTTTTCTCTCCATAGTAGTCTGTAAAATATATATTAAAATAATGCTACGAAAAAGGTTAGCAAGACAGCCACTTTAGATATACACACTATGTGTAGTAGTCAAGGGCCTAGTCGGCACGAGTGACACTAAAAACGAACAATGTTGCCAAATTGTACAAACATGTTAATCATTCTGTTTGTGACTTGGTGTATACGCACGTCTACCTGTATTTACATTCTTTACAAAAGCTAGAGATTTCGCTGAGAATAAAATTATTAATCATATAAATTTGTATTTACGTGTGATGAGGGGCCAATGGTCTCTTCATCAAGAATTGAAGTGCTATACTTCTCGATAAAGGGTCCCTGTCGCGTCGAAATATAATCCGGATTTTCTGACACAACCAAGTTAGTCAAGTAGCCTCTTCACTATTTGCTTATGTTAAAAATCCTGCAAAAATAAATCGTATTTTTTTTCTAATGATGACAGCAACATTTGTTCGTGTTTCTTTAATGTTATGTTTTAGATGATCTGTAAATTGGATTGACTTAAACAGTTTTGTTACCGACTATTATATATCTGTAGAATAACAACTGTTCGAGCGAAACTCCTTAAAATCTTTAGATTTAATTTTTTAACTATCTAATATAATCGTAGTCTTAGATTATCTGAATTAAAGATTTTTTTAACTTAATTGTTCTGAATATGTTTCATACTAGATATTGCAAAACATTAACTAATTTGTGAACATTCGGTACTTTTGACCTCCATGGTTCTGTGTTAGAATGATTGATTGATTGAATGACTGACATTTAACTATTGAACGCGTGTTACCTACTTTATGAATCAAGTCTGTTTACAAACATAAGTCTCATCACAAGTGAGATAATATTCTTGAGACTCTATTATTTTCTATTATTTCTTATTGATTTGTATAGACATAGCGTTATCGCGAGAGTTAACTTTCGAGCCATGCACTAAATGTCTTCTGTCGGCTTATATTTTTATGTTGAGGAGTCCGGTTTCCCATGAAATGAAATCATCATCCTTATTTGCAATAGACTCAATTCTTAAAAAAAAAAAGTAAACAGGAAATACGTATTTTCACACTACCAATTATTGCACAAATAAAAATAGTATTATTATGTGTTATGTTGTAAAATATAATTAATAATAATGGCCGTGGTTTTACCTATAAAATGGATTAAATTTAAAAAAAGCCAGTCAAACTAATTCACAATTTTAATGACATTGTTAACCTATACTTTTATTGATGTAGAGCCGCCAGTGGCGCGCTTCAACAACCGGCGTAAGTCGGTGTTTGCTGAGACTTATGATCCTGAGGAAGATGATTCAGACGAAGGTGCTCCCGCTGTGTTCCCCAAGTCGGATGCTCAGCGTGCGCGGCTCGCTGAAGCTGTGCGCAGTATCTTGCTATTCCGATCGCTGGACGTGCAGCAGATGCAGCAGGTAATTAATCTTCGTATAATGAAATATTTGGAGCATTCCTGCGCCTCTTTACTATATAAGTGTACTGTGCCAGTACCATGCGTATCGGAATATATTATTCATCCGTTTATTAACATGGCATGTTCCGGTGTCTACTCAATAAACCTTGTACCTACTTATAAATTTCTATTTGTAACTTAACCTAATCATCCATTGTGCATAGGTATTAGACGCTATGTTCGAAAAGCGTACGGAGCCCGGCGAGTATGTGATTCGACAGGGTGATGATGGGGACAACTTCTACGTCATTGAAAATGGCGTTTTCGATGTGCTCGTCATTGGAGATGATCGCCTTGAAAAGGTACGTCACTAGTGTTGTGTTCTCGAAGTGAAGTCCTGACAAAAAGAAATCAAACATTTTACACTATTTTTTTTTGTACATCTGCTTATGAGCCTAAAGATAAAAAAATAGATAGAATAATTGGTAATAATTAGTAAGACATTAGGTAAGTACCTAAACCCCACCCAAAAAATTAATACAACCGATTAAAGACTAAAACCAAACATTGCCTACTTTTTTAAAACGTCCTAAATCGGTTATCATTAATGCATTCATGTTTTTGTGACGATATTTTTATTTTTTTAGTTTCAGGCAACTTTTCGTATGTATAGATATCTGAGTGTCTTTTTAACAATTTTTATACCTCTACCTCACATAGCATCAAGACCGCACTAGTTGGGTCCTGGCCAAATGTGGCTCTTTAATACCTGTCTCTGTCTACCCCTTCGCGTGTATAAGCGTAGTGTGTATATATGTATTTTATATTTTAGAAATACTTCATTTAAGTAGTGGGTTTTCGTCTATCTCCTTCCTTTCTTATGTGGTGCAATTAGATACAAAACTTTTTCAAAGTCAATAACAAATAACCTTCCATTTCGCTTATCGAAAATTATCATAATGTTGTTCTTTCATAGCGGTTTCGCTGCAGTGTACTAATGAACTTATCCATACTAATATTATAAATTCGTCTGTGTTACTGAACCGATTTAGATGAGATTTGGTATAGAGATAGTTTGAGTCTCGGGAAAGGACATAGGATAGTTTTTATTCCAGAAATCATCCTCATGAAATGATCCTCATCATCATCCTTTAAGGGGTGTTAAGAAGGCTGGTAGTCGGTATGGGGAATCAATAATCGCTGAACCGATTCAGATGAAATTTGGTATGGAGATAGTTTGATTCTTGAGAAATGTCATAGCACTTTTTACCGCGATAACCGACATACACGCGGTCGGAGCTACGGCCAAAAGCTAGTTTACTTATAAACTTACTTCGTGAGTTTCAATTTTATAAAATAATAACTTCAGCGAGCATCGTATTCTCTAAGAACACCTGTCTTATTTGTCATAATCGTACCGCGTTTATTTCTGCACATTTAAATTAAATGACTCTGATGATAGACATCGACATTGTTTCATATTAACTCTATCATAGATAGATGTACATATTTTCATCATCATCATCATCAACAGCCTTAAATAGTCTACTGTTGGACATAGGCCTCTCCTTAGAAAGGAGGTTTAGAGAAGATGAATGGTGGATAAGATTAATAAATTAACCTAATTAATTTATTAACGTCTACTTTAAAGGTATTGTTTCATCTTTTTAACGTAACAAGTTAGTTTAAAAACAGTTTTTTTTAAACAAGGACAAAAATTGCTAGACAGCTGTTTTCTGTCTATTTTGTGTATAATCCTGGTTTCAAGAGTGTTTCCTTTAGGGTCGAACCTGCTACCAAACAACTAAAACTTTAATGCGATAGACATAGGTATAAATGTTAATGCAATTTCATCATAAAATATTCCCTACTACTTTTCACACGCATAAATTTAGTCAATCAATTCTGAATCCTACTAGCCCTCTCAGCATATTCTCAAAATTTCATTTCAATTGATTAGTCAAGTAGTTGTGGCGTTTTTAAATGTGTATTTAAAAAAATATCCCATAAACACAATGTGGTTGACTGGCGGTGGAGAAGATCTTTAATGTTATTGTTGTTTTATATTACTCCAAAAAACCACCACCGTTTTGAAATTGACTCTGATTATTAAGGTTGCTACCTTTACATTAATAAAGGTAACTTAATTTAAAATAATATACAAAAGTTTTAGGTTAAACAGCGACTTTAACCCGTTAAATCGCATTTTTTTTCTAAAATCATGGATTACTTTTTATTGATGTCTTGTTGTCTACTGTGGGCCCAGAAGTCTTCAATATAATGTTGTGGCATGGTGTTAATTAATTATATTAATCTAGTACTCGTATTTGTCTGGTCGGCAACAGTTGATGATAACCTTAGTGTCGATGGCAGTTGATAATTTGATGTCTCCTTGTGATTTCTCGATAATGTTATCGAACCTTATTCAGTCAATGCTTTCAAGAATGTCTTCTTATCTTGATTGTCGTCACAACGTTTTTATTTACGTCATTCAATACGTAAACTTCGTTCCTCAATATAATTTTCTTGTCGATGTCATAATTAAAGATGCCAATTAATATTTTGTAACCACGTATGATAAGATGATTAGCACCCGTTCAAAAATAGAAAGAACGGGAGCTAAAATGTAGGATGAGCATATTACAAGATCTCATTAAATACGGGCTTTTTGGAAGGAATCTTTGTCACACGCTTCGATACTTCAAACGATATAAATAACGAACAATTTTTGGAACAGTTCGTCGTTCTTGTAAAAATGCTGATATGTTAAAAATAAAGCAGTACTCGTGTACTTCAAATACGAATGATACCTAACTGCTGGAGATAACTTTGTAGCCTTGTAGACATGCATAAGTAAATACTAAATTTACACAGATAGACCGATTACATAGTTTATGATTGTGTGGTAGCAGGGTGTGCTTTAAGAAATTATTTCTGAAAAAACTTGCTCTATACAAATTCCAATAAAATGATTGATCCCAAATTTTCTCGTCAAAGCAGCAAGATATTTAAGCGAAAGAAAATAAACGGTATACGTCCATGTATTACAGAACTATAAAATACTAACTTCTACCTTATTGTGTGATATTAAACACAGTAAAATTTTCAATAAAGTGTTAAAGAGAAATTGTTATTAATAATTTGATTAATTTTCAAACAGTACAAAATTGATAATATATACTATGTATGTATTTAGAATAAGTATGTTTATCAGCAGTCTGGTTACCATAGCACAGGCTCCGCCTAGTTTGGTATCAGCCGGCCGTGTGTGAGATGTGTAAAATGTTATAATTATTATTTAATCTTGTAAAAACATTTAATGTAGTACATGTATATAAACCTTATATTTACTTTACCATGTGGACTACAATAGCTCATTTTTGTATAGGTGGTTCATACTTACGAAGGCTCTGGATCGTTCGGTGAACTGGCTCTCATGTACAACATGCCGCGCGCAGCTTCGGTGCGCGCTCAGACTGCAGGCGCGCTGTGGGCTATGGACCGCCACACTTTCCGACGCATCCTCCTCAAGAGCGCCTTCAAGAAGCGCAAGTTGTACGAAGATCTCCTCGAAAAAGTGCCCATGCTAAAGGCGCTCCAAGTAAGTATATATGACATTTCAGTAAAAATTGTTCTGTACTTTTCAGGCACAAAGTTGAGAGCGATCTAATGTGTGCTAGCTCCCGGAATGAGACCGTAAACATTTTGATACACAAGTATATGTAACCGTTGTTTGGCCTAATAACAAGCTTCATATGAATAAGTAAAGATAAGTCCGAATGCACTTTTGAAGCTATAATCGTGTCAGTCAGGCTTTACGGTCTATACAAATAATAAAAAATATTTTAATCTAAGTGTAAGGTACTGTTCAGTGCTTCTTTTAAATCATGAGTTTTAATTGAAAATGACATAAAAATATCTATCAATCATGCGAGAAACAATTCAACAGTTCAAAATTATAAGTTTTTCACACACATCTAATAGTATAATCCTATCAGAATAACATGAAAACACATCGGAAAGATCCGTTCGTTTAGGTCATATTTAAAATTTCAATCTAACTTCTGGGGACTACGTTCATAAATTCTTACATATTTTTCAATCATAATGTTATAATAATAATTTCATAATGTTTACTTGATTTAGTAAAACTTTATTTCCCAATATTTTAACTATGTGATAAAAATATTTTTGAATTTTCTGATTTTTGACATATCAATGTAGTCGTATACGTAAAACAAAACTCTTAAACCATGTGTAAAATAGATAATAGTCAGACCTGTTATCGATTCAGTAGGCTGTTTTTAAATTCAATCATCTTATTCGTTCATTACCTGATTGAAGCGACTACTTATCTACCCACCCAAAATGAAGGAGTCTTCTTATCTCCCACGTGTTTAGGCTAGACAGTTTCATTGGGATCACTACACGAGCACTTTGACGATTCTCACTGCGGTCTATTATAAAATTCATAGGTATATTGTTGAAAGTCAATTTCAAAGGCATTTACTTCTTGATTGTTGTTCTTTAAAAGATGTATATCAGTGATCATAAATTATTTAAACAAACATACAGTTATGATAATTTAATAAAAATACAAAATATAAAGAACTTCAAGAAGAAAACATAAGATGGTAGGTTTAATTATCTGCTGATTATTATATTATAAGTTTTGTTTCTAAATAAATGAAAGATTTTAATTAAGTTCGAAGTCGTAGTAAAATAGCAATTTTACTATGACTTTACTACGTGTAGTACAGGCTCTGTCTAGTTTGGAAGCAGACTGCCGTGTGTGAGATGTGTGTAATTATTAATATTATTTAACGAACTTAGGATTACTTAATAATTACTTTTGTACTAGTATTAAAAAAACATAATTGCTGTTTTTACAGTACCATAATGTTGTTTTTACAGTATTAGCAATCTTACTAGTCTGTGTATTGTCAGTAAATCAATCCAGTCTCTGATGGCCATTCCGGACATTAATAATGTGAGCCTGAATGAATCCTCCATACCAAGTGGATTCTTATAACTAACAATTAATTTTAAAACAAGCGCAATGTCAAACTAATGACGTGAATGATAAATAACCATTAATCAAGAACCACATTCAACTAAACCCCTTCAGCAATTCCCTAAGTTTATCTCAAACGAGTAAGTAAACGTGGGAAGTTGTCATTGTATAGTGTTTAAGACATATGGTAACAGATATTTACGTAGCATTGACATACATCCGCTACAAAGCTGAACTCCTTGAACTATGCAAGAACTGGACACATGTCTTATCTGTTACGGTAATCATTCCCACACAGAAGTAAGTTTAATTCGAAATCGAAATGTAGGAGGTATTGTAGATACAGTTGTCAGAGCAAGAAGTCTGCAATGTGAAAATAGTTTCTAAAAATATTTTACTAAATCTGCTGACGTCGTTATATTACGTGAGAATTGGAGTAGTAACAATAACGAACTATTATAATATTACTTTCGGACTATAGTATGATGTTTCTACATATATAAATTTACTGTGTTGGAACTCATGAAGCGATGACAAAAATAATTTGTGTTATCACTCGAAATAGTTTTTTTATGTAACTAGTAGGGACTGAGGAGACTAGCTATTAATACATATCGTTAGGTTCGCACTTTGTATATTACACATACTATTTATATAGTACCTAGTGCTGTACATCTTAGTGCTATACACAGTTTGTACAATATACATTTGCTAGATTTACCTTTGCAAAACATCAAACACTAAACAAGCTACGGCTTTCATCTCAAAGCCCTAGTCAAGCTCTGCCGCCTGCACTATACAATTAATCAATCAAAATGGGTCGTACATGTGGACATTGTTGTCGTTGAACTTTGCTCGTGTTGTGTGCGTTAGCTACACAAAACTCATCATCGTACTGCTAATAAGTTTATAACAAACTAGCTGTACCCTGCCACGCTTTGCTGTGGCACACTGTGGTTGCAAAAAAATGATAAAAACCATCTCTGAAGCGTGTTGTATATCGTACCAAAATTTGAGCTCTATCGGTGTAGAACTTTTAGGTTTTGAAGCGTACACAAACCAACTTAACATTTTATTTACATAGATAATTAAGTTTGTGAATTTAAGTATACTATTTTCACGCAGTTGAGTTTTTTGTTTTTCTTTTCCAATTCCAATATTGTAACTTTTTTACACCCCTTGTATGTCTTTCAATTTCATTGTATACAGAAATGAAACACCAAAGCGTACGAAAACCTATCGACTTATTTTCCAAACATTAGAAACATTGAAACGAGGTCTAACGCTTTCACATGAGCGGATCTGTTACCCACTGTCCCGAAAATATTGCCTGACCACGCTCAAACTGAACTTATCAATCAATATACACTGAGTCTCCACCTCTCTTTATCGAATTTTTCCATACTATAAATAGATTTGTATGGAATGAGAATTAACGGAAAGCGTTGGCAAGATTATATTGCAAGACTTGTTGATAGAATAAGGTGCCTTCTCGTTAAAACGTGTTTAATCTCCTTTAATTCTTAAAAGGAAAACAAAAGAACAAAAAAGCATAGTTATAAGAAGGAATTATGTTTTATTCACACCATGAAAATATCTATTATTACCAATCGAAAAAAACGCTTCTGAAATTTGAAGTTAAATGAGTAGGAGAACGAATTCAACAGTTAAAAACGGATTTTGTTGAAGTATGACCGTAGATATTTTATAGGTAGACCATGACAGGGCCGAGTTAAGCAGCTCTAAAGGTACTTGCAAATTTGTGAAAGTTCTTGTACTTTGATACTGCTTATGGATAGGAGAAATATAAAACCTTACTGCCTACCGCAGAACCTGCTTCTCTTTGTCGCTTTTTCAGTATTTGTTTACTTTTTTTTGTTTGAGTAGTTAAACGGCCATAAAACAACTAACTTAAATTGCGATTTGGAAGTCACGGGTAAAAAAAGTTTTTCATTATTATGTTGTAAACGTTAACTTTTACACTAATATAAAACCATTTTATTTAGCAGCAACTAGCAAAAGGTACAATAGTTAAATCATATTCAATTCAAGTCAATTGCGAATGTAGGTCAGTGTATCGCTACGTGTTTAGAATTATTTATTAGCTGACTTGATTGCTAAGTATGGCGTCCCCGTCAACTACTTGTGTAAAAGTGTTTCTAAATGTTTTACTACCTATTCTTAGTAGTACTGCCTGGTGAATCTAATTATAGAAGCCTGTCTGTCCAGTGCGGGCGCGCTCATTCTACCGACATACCGACTAGGAACGTCCAGAAGAAGGAAAGAGACCCCTGAAAATAGCAATTGCGAATGGAAGAGACAATGTTAATCCGCGGCAATACCTATCTATATTAATAAAATTGATGATTGGACAATATTATTATATTTTCTTGTGTATTTTTGAGTAGCAAATTTAAATTTTTATAATTTGCATTTACCCAGTGTCACTAACAATTAAGACGAATCTGATGACACCCCCCAAGCAAAAATCTATCAAACCATTTAGACTACAGAGCGTGCCAAAGAAACATATATACTTCCTCTGGCGCAGTCAGGTAAAAACTAAACGTCAAGGGCTATAAATAAATATAAAGATACATAATTATATATCTCGACTGACAGACTTATTCAGTGTTTTGTCATACTTACGATTGAATTCGATAAAGCGATTCTAATAAAGTGTAAGTAAAAGAGACTACTAATACGACTATTATACAAGTATCAAATGAACAATCAGGCTAATCTGAAATCTTTTCATTTAAAATAATATGTTTGGTAAAGACATTATGTTTTGATTGATATTTTGCATGTCATCAATCATATGACATACATATTCCTACAAAGTCAATACATTTTTAACTAATCGTTAATATAGGCAGATATTAGATTGAATTGATTATTAATTTCACCAAGGGCAAGTAAGCAATGGGCCACTAAACCTTTTTTTTTCTTGATAAATAACTGGCGTAAGAATTTGTCTGATCCTATCTTGGTCAATAAATACCACGACGTCTGTTTAATAGCTTATACATGTTGAAAGGAGACTGTAAAATTAAATGATTAAGATTCGAGTTCATTTCGAGTGTGATGCAAGGCAAGATAAGAGTCTTGATTTAACAAAAATCAATAAAGTAGAAGCTGAAAGACTGGATTTGTTTTTTTAATGTTTATAATATAATTAAATAAAAAACAGATTGTCATTGTTCTATTCAAATACTAAAAATGTGTATTGTTGTTGATTTTCTGCGGGTGAATCTTTCTGTGAACGATGAGTCAATTTTATAGCTACGACACGATAGTGAATGTTCACCATCGCACTACTAAAAAAAAACATGAATTCTAACATATAACTAACAAGTATACTAACTGGATTTTTAAATCGATAGTACGAATTCGAAGCCTTGCGTTTATTTGTGAATAATGGTTGTACAACACATTATCGAGCAACAGTACTACTAGAGCTATCATCATAACACAGTAGTCCACTGGCTGGACATAATTTCCTTAGAAAATATGTTTTGGTCTACTATACCACACTCCCCAAACGGTTGATATAGGGTTGATTTTCCTTTTCTTTGTCCTTCGTC